CAATATAGAAGATCTTTCATTATTGAAACTACGTTTCAATCCAACATTTGATTGCAGGGTCATTAATGTCTTTGCAAACTCAAGATCCAAATTAATTCTGTACAAACCATCACAGAGAATTCCAGAACCAACTTTTATTGAATCATAAAATATACTAAGTTTGCCACTACCAAAAGAAAGACAATATCCTAACTCATCAATTCTAGAAAGAGAAACCAAATTTCTAGAAATTGTAGGGACATAACATGTGTCAACAAGATCCATCAAGTGACCCGTCTCTAAGCATAAGCATAGACGATAAGTTCTCATTGATATCACTTTCGCTTTAAGACGATTTTTCATAATGATGAATCTTTCATGTTCTTTTGGTTTCCAATTTGAAAGAAATCCCTACATGTTATTTGTAACATGAGTTAGAAGGAACTTTTGTAATGTTTGATTCGAAACATACAAAGGTCGAGTTAATACCTTTCTTTTCGAACCAAGTCTTGTGTTTAATGCAATCCTTCTTCACGTGTCCTTTCTTGCCACAAAAGAAGCACTTTACAATAAATGCTTTCTTTTCACTAGTCCGTTTAACATTTCCAAACCCGGCAAATTTCTTTGATTGATAATGCTTCAACTTTCTTTTCTTATTACCAGCTCCTTGAGTAGTGGTCATGACATTATGTGAACTTTCCTGTCTTAATCTCAATTCTTCTTGAACACATATGCTAGTCAACTCATTCAGTCCCACTTATCCTTATTTGTGTTGTAGTGAATCTTAAATGGGACAAACTGAGAAGAAAGAGAATTGAGAATAAATTGCACGATGACAGATTCATCAACATTCATACCTAATGTTTTAAGTTTTGCAGCTTTGTCAGCCATATTGAAGATATGATCCTGAATTCCTCGAGTGTCATCATACTGAGTCGTAGTCAGTTCTTTCATTAATGTGCCAGCCAATGACTTATCAGCATATTTAAATCTGTCTTCAATAGCCTTTAAATATTCCTTTGCACTAGTTGCAGTCAGTAATGAAGTCTTTATGTTATTTGCAATTGTCATTATTATGAACATTAAACTAAGTCTATCAAATCTTTCCTAATCCTTCATTTCATTTACTTGTTCTACAGAACTTTCATCAGTCAAGTCTGTAGGCTTTTCAACAAGTAATGCTAAATTAAAATCTAATACACCCAGTGTGAATTGAACATGCTCTAACCATTCTAAATAATTTGATCCAGAGAGTACAGGGACACTTGAAGCATATGAATGTATATGAGGAAGTACCACTGCAAAAATATAGAATAACATTAATGCTTTGAGTTTGTCAAAAATTGATGAACTATTGATATCATCTATATTACACCTTTGGGTGAAATATTGACATATCTAGTGTTCACTTAAAAATATTTATGGAGGACTGATACCATCCATGTGGAATAATGTTGTTACCTTTGGGTATACAACCCTAAACTGCAAGGATATCCAAAAATAGTATCATCCTACCCCATCGTATAATTATTTGAATTAGATTCTCCTTTGGGATTATCTAAATCTCATAATTATATGTGTCATTATGAATATTATTTCCTTAATGTCATTTAGGACTAATTTCTTAATATTATTTTATAAGTCATTAGTCCAGGTCATTTTGGTGGCTACAAGACTAATGCAATGATATAAAATAGAAATGTCCTATAAATGATAAACTTTTATTGTAATTCATATCACAAAAGTTTTTCATCCTAGGCCACTTTGACAGCTACTAGCCAGATAAAACTTAGGAAAATGAATTACAAATAATATTCATCAATTTCTTTAATTTTTGCTAAGCAATTCAATAATAAAATGACCATAATAATTATTGAATATTAATGCAAAGTAGTATAATAATAAATAATAATAATAATTATTGAACATTAATGCTAAACAATTCAATAATAAATAACAATAATAATTATTGAATATTAATGCTAAGCAATTCAATAATAAATAACAATAATAATTATTGATTATTAATGCTAAGTAATTTAATAATAAATAATAATAATAATTATTGAATATTAATCAATACGAAAACTCATATGATAATTTCATATTATTTCATGTGAAAGGTAAATATTATTTCATAATTTCATATATATACATGTGAATAAATAAATAAAAGTCCAAAAATAATAATTGGATTTTAATTTTATTTAACACATGTAAAATCAATAATTTATATAAATCATGCATGTGAAAGATATACATTATTTCACAATTTCATATATATACATATGAATAAATAAATAAAAGTTTAAAAATAATAATTAGATTTTAATTTTATTTATCACATGTAAAATCAATAATTCATATGAGAAAACTATAAAGTAAACCATAATTTATAGTTTTTTTTAATCAAAAATTAAATCCAATCAAATAATCAAAAATATAATTATGATTAAAATTAATCATAATTATAATAAATCATATTTATCAATTTATAATTGAGAATATATATTAAATTTCTCAATTTTGATAAAACCATAAATATTTGAAATGGAATAAATCAGAAATATATGAATGGTAGAACTATAATTTTGGCATAAATTAAACCCGAGGGTAAAACCATAAATATGTTGACAGAACATAACCTGAAATTACGAAATTTACAAGGGTAGAACTATAATTTTGATAAAACCCTAGCCTCGAGGGTAAAACTGTAATTATGCCAAAAACCCTAATCTGCCTTCGCCGTCGCCGCCGCCTGCACGAGTGGCGCTGCCGCTGCTACCTGCGGCGTGGCCGCCTGTGCGTGGCTGCGGGCTGCCGCCTGTACGCGGCTGCCAGCGGTAGTTCTAGCCAGCGCGCGGTCGCTGCCACCACGGCGCTGCCGCCGCGGGGCTGCTACTGCTCACGCGCGGCCGTTGCCGCTGCGGCGATTCTTACCTGCACGTGGCTGTTGCAAGCGCGTGACCGCCGCCTATGCACGGCCTATTCATGCACGGTCGCCACTTGGGCTGTCTGCCTGCGTGTGGCCGACCGTCGCATGGACGGGTTCTGGCCGTGTGCGGTCGACCGTCGCATGGACGAGTTCCGCGTATGGGACGGATTATGTGATGCCCGCATATGGGACAGGTTCTGTGATGCCCGCATATGGGACGGGTTCTGTGATGCCCGCGTATGGGACGGGTTCTGTGATGCACACGCTACCCAGCGTGATCGCATATTCGCAGCAAGGTCGACGGTGACCATTGCTGCTTAGTAATTCTTGGAAGATAAAGGTAATTTTATGCATCGTAAATAAATTTATAGATCTAATGCATTTGATTTCAACGGAGATGTGCATCTATCTATACGTAATGCTAACGCTCTAACATTCTCTCAACCCTTAGAGGGGTTATCTCCCGAGGAATCGTTCCGTAGTGGACTTAGTCTATTGACTAAAATATATGAACGGAACCCAATTAGTTATTATATTATATATTTTATTCAATTATAAAAGGGCTACATAATCTAACAGTAGCATCATCTAAAAATAAGTTATATATCGTAAAACTAATCTTTTCACCGGAGAGAACATCAAGAAGAAAGAGGAGTTGGCTAAATTGTGAAAGATCGTTGGCCCCACAATATTTAGCAGGGTGGTGATCACTCAGGCTACCTTGAGTTGGCGTCCATGTCCATCGCCAACACCGTCGTTGTCGGCTTCAGCTTTGTCCTAATGGTACGTGCACATCAACCCTCACCACCCCCAAACCCCCACCCCCCCCCCCCCC